CGAAAGTATAAAAAGAACTGGAAAGTTATCTGCAAACATGGCACTGAAGCAAGACCTTGCAGATGGAGGCTAAGAGAATCAAGAATTGGGGGTAGAGGACAATTTAGAATCGGGATCTACGATGGCGATCATAGTTGCTGTATGCAAGGGATGACAAACAATCATGGCAACTTGAACATCAATTATTGCGCCGCAATTCTATTGAACAGTGTTCCTGAAAATCCAGTTTGTGAGATTTCAAAGGCAAGAGAGATTATGACCGCGCAAATAGGATATGAAATATCCTACATGAAGGCATGGTACACTTTGAAGCGATGCAGAGAAAATGTATATGAAACATGGTAGAGTTCGGTCAAGAAGTTGGCAAAATTTATGAAAGCACTGCAACAAAGGAATCCAGGCACAACTGTTGAGTGGGAACATCACGCGACAAATCATCCATCGAAATACATAATCAAATACGTCTTCTGGGCCTTCAAGCCATGTATTGGTGGTTTCAAATACTGTCGTCGGGTGATCAGCGTGGATGGAACTCATTTATACACTAAGTACAAACATAAGATGTTGCTTGTTGTGTGTTTGGATGCGAATCAACAAGTTTTACCACTTGCGTATGCAATTGTTGATGAAGAGACCGCTAGTGCATGGAAGTTGTTTTTCAAATGCATCAACAAACATTTACATTCCGTCATATCAGATGGTATTTGCATAATTTCGGATCGGGGTTCTGGAATTTTTTACTGTTGTATTGTTTAACAGATATGAGCATGGATGTGAATTCCTCCATCGAGGCACATACCTACTTTGAAAAAATGGGGCACAATACTTGAGTATGGGGATATGAGTTTCCCGTACCACCTTACGGTGCACGGTAATGGTTTCAAAATTTATGTTAAATTAATTTTGCATTATTTTTTTACGGTGCACGGTAATCTGCGCATTATTTTTTTGTGCCTATAAATATAAGGGTTTGTTTGAGTCATATTCCAGTATATTATTTAACATTTTCGGTCAATTTGACCTGCTCGAATTTTGATATGTTTGTTTTTTTCTTCAAAAAATTTTATTACTTAGATTTATTTTTAATTTTCTAAATAAAACCTTTTATTTTTGTCATTTTTAATTTCTTCATTTTTTCTTAAATGTCTTCTGGTAGTTCAAATTCTCAACAATAATAGGATTGTAAAGATGTTTGTAATATTATTATATGTATATGCTTGAGTAGGGGTATTATAGTCGTATTTTGAAAAAAAATGTAATGTGAGGGGGGTTTTGCATTTATGTCTAGTACGAGGGTATATGTTACAAAGTTCATAGTACTAGGGTGTTTTTGCATTTAACCCTTATTTTTAGTTTAATATATAATAATACATCACAGGCGGACCAACCATGTCAGCTTCATTGAGACTGATGCACATGTTCTTCGTATTTTTAGGATGATGTTGGATCAGATGCTCCCAGATCAGTTTATATGGACGCCATATGATCTAGATGATCCAGAGTATCAGGCTGTTGTTGGTAACTCGACGATCTCCTGCTTTGATGCAGAGTATCGAGAGTCCCCCTGATATGCCACGTAATTGTAGAGATGCATCGACCAGACAGAGTAGTACGCCAATTCGGGATGGTACAACCCATACATGAACCTCCTAAAAATACCGAGGCAGATTTCCAGATGCACGTCAATGCTAACCGTACAAGTGCTACCAACCGAGATTGAAGTCTTACAAATGTTTCTTATGTTACTGCTTGGAATAATAGAGTCAATTATATTATTGATTATCCATATGCCAGTGACGGTCCTACTACCGAAGAGGGTTATTTTGAGTGGTATGAACTGCACACGCGTCGTTTCATATCACCGATTACCCCATATGATCGTACAGGATTTCAGGTTGGAGGTAAGATTTCAATGGATACAGTAGTACGTATTCAAATTTGTTTATTATAAAATTTTGTTTGTTATATAATTTTTATTAATGTATATCTTGTAAAAATAAAATATTTCTTATTACTTATTTCAGATTCAGCGTCTTCGATCGTTGATTGTTTCTGACGATGGCGGAGACACGCCACGGGATGGCTATCGTTCGTATCTACCAACTCTCATAACATGTCTTAATGTCTTGGAGTCTCGACACGGACCTTCAGATATGCCTCAATCTGAGATGACTTATACTCAGACTCACCCTCAGACTCAGACTCAGATGCCACTGTCTCAAATGCCTCAGTCACAAACTCAGATGCACGACGGTGAGGCAGAAACTTCTTCTCGTGCATATTATCCGGCATTCGATAATTATCCAGATCCTAGATCATACTGACATCCATCCGGTATGTTTAGTACCTTTGATTTTATTTTTAATACTATCTACAAATGTGAGTATAATTATAATCCCGTTGATGCAGATCTGTACACCCCATACCCCTACTATAATCCGAATATGAATTCGGAAGACCCAGTTCATTTGGGGTCTACGCATCAGTTTTCGTCTACATCACGACTGGTAGATCGTCAGATGACACCCGATCCTTATTCTCAATCCACAGATTCTTTGAGTGATAATGAAAATGATGAGGATGAATAAGTTGGTAGAGGGCACATGACTAGAAGGCCCCTGAGATGTGGCACCGGAGGTCACCGTCATTGATGATATTATTATTATTATTGTAGTTTATGTTGGTTAATTATTAAAACTTTTTAGTATTTTAGTTATTCAATAAAAACAAGTTAAATAAACTAAAGGATTTGGAGATAAAAAATATTTCCTAATAATTAGGCATTTTATTATTTTTATTTAATAAAATATAAATTAAAAAAAAATAATGTATATAATTGACAAAATAGTTCTTTATTTATAACTTATGTAAAAAAGTTCTTCATTTGACAAAAAAATAATATAACTGACAAAATAATTCTTTATTTATAATTTATGCAAAAAAGTTCTTCATTTCACAAAAAGTAATATAATTGATAAAATAGTTCTTTATTTCTTAATTATTTTGTTAGGTTAATTAATTAACTTTGTATTATTTTATAGTAAATTATAAAATAAATTACATAAATAAATGAAGAAAAAAATTTAAATTACAATATATAATTAAATTAAAATTAAACTTCAATTAAGTATTACAATTCAATAATAAAAAAAATTAAGTAAAATTAAAAAAAATCTCAGCTCAAATCCAGCTGTTGATATAAACATAATCCGACGGCTGCTAAAAGGCGTCACTATGAATGCCGCTTTAATCCTGTGTGGCAGGTCAAATGGCGTCATTCAAAACGACGCCTTTTAAGGGCGTCGTCCTGATCAATCCCGGACCGTCAGATTAAGAAGACAAAACTGGAGAGCTGGCCGTTGATCCAAGCTCAACCCAACGATCCATATAAAGCGTAGTTTGAAATGACTTTTTATTGTATTTATGAAATCAATCCAAAAAACACCCCGATTTTCAAAAAAATAAATCCGAAATATTGTAAAAAAAAATGGCCCCAGGGAAATATACACACAACCTCAAGAACACACATTCTATACACTCTATACTCACAAAATACATTCAAATACATGAAATACGTTGAGGAGGTCCCACATCATTATTTATTTTATTTTGGTATGGTAAAATTTGAGGCAATGAAACTTCGGATATAATTTCGGTAAGATACGTTGGGGCATTTGATTAGTAGATCATTTTGATAAACAAGTCCACCGGGCCCTACATGCTCAAAGGTGTCCTTTTATATATCTAAAAATTGGTATTTTTTAATATGAAAAAATATAAAATCTTAATAAAAATATATAAACGGGTCGGATACGAGGTTGGTAAGGGTGCATATGTTCATAACCCGTACCTCCCCTGTAACTGTTACTAGTGAAATTTTTAAAATCCGTATCCACCACATTAGCTGATAGGCGAAGCTTACCCGGTAATTTCGGGGCGGGTACCGGTGGAGCGGGTTAAATTGCCATCCCTATTTTTTTCTCTCTTTATACACTCTCTTATCTCTCCTCTCTCTTCTCTTCTCTTTCTCTCTCCTCTCTCCTTCCTCACATTCTCCGTTACTTTTTTCTCTTCCCCGACGGCAAAAAAAACAACTGAAAAAATCTCACAATGGCAGCTACTGGTGAACCAACCCCTAAAATGGGAAGTCATTGGCCTGCCTTTGAGCCTTGTGTAGGGTTTTTATTGTTTTGGCTATCAACGTCATTTTATCAAGATAGCTCATGCGTTTGCAAATGAGAAGTCGAGATAGTGCCTCGTCAATGCTCATTTCGAGTTATTATGTTTAATGTAGTCAAGATAGACCTATTAAAATATTTATGCTATCGCGACTGACGAACTGGCGGCGAATCTCTGAATAATCCTCCTCTTCCAGATGTAACTGCTACAAAATGCTGTCTTGGAAGTGAAATGATTTTTCATAATCAAATTTCAAACACCTGAATCTTTTTGCTTTCATATTCCCTATATTAATTGTCATATATGTTTAGTATTTATTAATTAACAAGTCCTGCTTCAATAACAACTAGTTGGACTTCAGGACTACACCAGCTGAGGAAGTTTGCACCAATGACAAAAACAATGAAACAAAATGAAACTCATGAATCAGAAAAGTAATCTGCCACTGTGGTTCATACAAAAACAAATGCATAGAAATATTTTAAATAGTCTCTAGGATATCTAATTTGATTTTGTAATATATCATATAAGAAGAATAAAAACGAGGCAAAGAAGAGCCCTCGATACCTCAGTCATGTTCTATACCCAAAGTTTTCCGACAGAAAATAACATAAGGAAACCCACGGTACACTAACTAATCGAATTCAAAAGAGAAAAAAAGGTGCTCTTTATTTTACCCAAAATATGTTCACGTCACATGATTTCGCCCCCCACGTTCAAATAAATCATCCATCACAATTGTTATCGACAAAATCAAATAAATTGCCAAATATATATATTTCGATCTCAAAACTCAAATATGCAAGAATTTTGCTAATTAAGAAAAAAAAAACCAACTCTTTTTCTAGAAAAATTAGTAATCAACAACCACATCAGCAAATCCTCCATAAGATAGAAAACTCTCAGTTCTATTCAGTTCAAAAGAAAATATTAAAGGAGGTTCTCCACCAACTCGACCTACTACTAGATAATAAATGAGCTCCCGAAAAATGAATTGACAGAACATAAATCATACATAAGCTTCTCAATGAACTCTCAAAAACTTAACAATACAAATAAGCACCACAAAATTTTTGCTTAACTAACAAAATTCCACAAGGACAAAACGAAGTTCAGTCCCACTCAATATTGACAATTGTTCCCCGGCGAATCATCCCTGACGATCGCATACAGTTTGCAGTCCCAAAAAATATCAACGAGTGTGCGCAAAACTTCTGAAATCTTTAACTTCAGATGAATTTATATTTTCCCAAATATTATGAGTTCTAAAAAAAATTGAAAGTATGACCGAATGAATCTGCCATAGTTGAAAGAATTGGAAAGATGGAATTTACCCCCCAACTATTGGAAAGACGAACGCCTCCGCTTGTCAAGTTTCTCCCTCCTACCACGGTTAAAGGGCCTAAGCGTTCGCTCGATTTCAATCTCAGACAAAAGCGAAGAATGCAGTCTTCGAAGATGTCCAGCACAATTCTTGTGTTCAAGAGGAATGGTGGTGTTACGGTTACTGTTCTTTTCGTAAGGATAAAACTTCCTTTGATACGGAGACTGCCACTTGGCTTGCAAATAAGCGAAAGATCTCCATGGAGGGAGAGGCATGGAGTTCTGTTTTAGAGAAGACCTAGCTGCTTCCACCATTACTTGAAGAAACTGTTTGAGCTTATTCAAACTTCCCACATAAATAACCGGTACCGATTTCAATATCTTATCATAAGGTTTCACGGCTCTAGCAATCTCGAAATGGCTTCTGAAGTCAACATCGACAATCACACGCTCACTACTTCCCATATCGTTACTGTGGACTACATCAATATATTCATGATCACCTGCATTGCAAGTGAAACAAGTACCGTATCAGTATGCATTAGTTTTCTTAGTACCAAAAAAAAAGAAGAAACAAATCGCTGGTGAAAAAAATATTCAAAGAAATATACAGAGAAAAGAGATATTTACCTCCTGGAACCTTGCCGATTCCTTGCCACCTGGATGTGCAGACAGCGGCATCATAACCAGATAACCTAAGAAGCTTAACTAGGGCGAACCTGATGCAGCTAGCATTGCACAAATCTGAATTTCCAGCATCAAGGTCTCTTTCATTAATTGAAAGTGCAAGAGAATTGATAACCGACAATAAGTCACTTTCATATTGATTCTTCGCCAGCTTGAAATACTGAAGACGTAAAATAATCAGTTAGGGAATGTAATAAATTAAGAACCGCTAGAACAACTAAGAAAAAAAGTTAAGGCAATCATTACATGGAAATAAGCTCCAATTGTTCATGCACAACATGGTTTAAAGCTCCAATTGTTGGCGGCTAAATTTGCTTATATTGCGAAGATGTAATAAAGATGCAAAAGAAACACTAACAGAGAAGGTACGATGGTTTAAATAAAAATGTGAATTGTTATATTCGAGAACCATTACTATTATGCCGCTTGCTAAGAACCCCCCAAAATATAAAGCTAATCTGGCTTGAACATTCTTCGACTTCAACCTAAAGAAATATTCTAGAACAGACTCTTCGGTACCGCAATGAAAATCACAGCACGATAAAGTAACCAATTACCCATGGGCTCTGACAATGGTTTCATTTTAAAAACACTCGAGCAGGAAATGTACAGTACTAACTCCCCATTCCCTTTGTAGCAACAAACACGCGCTCATCATAGCAGTACGCATAAGCAACAAGCTACCTTGAATACTTAAAAATAACAGTACATGTGCATTTGCTTCCACCTAGTGGTGCTTTATAGTACACTTATTACACTTGTGCCATTCAAAATACGAGAAGAGAAACACAAAACAGAGCCATCCCATAATTCAGCCTACATACGGCACAACCCATAAAGTAGAATCAGTTAACCTATCAACCATAGATGCAGTTGGAAGCTTCTATTAACTTTTTTTCTACGAGTATAAAACAATCGAGTTAAGCCGAGCGTATTATTGCTCAAAACTTATGTTTAATCTTGGTTGGATTAGTAATTGAGTCGAGCTAGAACAACTTTTAATCGAGCTTGAGTAACTTCATTTTGTTTTCACATATTTTATCATTTTATTCCTTGATTCATATATGCCAAAAGAAAATATAAATTCAAGCTTGATTCATTACGATAAAGAACCGAACTTAAATGGGATTTTAGCCGTCTATCGCAAATCAAAAAAAAAAAGAGTAGCTTGATTTGAAAGTTCAACCCAGTCTTATCCTTCAAATTGTTTACTATATGAGCACACGCCTAAACAAGCAATGGTATAATAAAAGATATTGTAAAGCCAGAGAGAGAGACACACCGAAATTTTATCAGCAAGAAGAAGGAGATCAGAAAAGCTGGAATCACTGTCGCTGCTGTATCTTGTAAGGTCAGTAGCACCACCGCTATTACTATTCTCCAAGAAATCATTGACCATCATTGCTAAATCATGCTCACTCTCATGGCTCATTGCACCAGCTCCACTCAAATGTATCCCCCTCAGCACCTCATTCGAAGACGACGACGACGTCGTATAAACCCCGCCGCAGCTCATTCCACCTCCAATTCACTTACACCACCAAACTCCAATAACCGATGATACCCTTCTTTTCAACTTACAGAAACAAAAAGAAAAAAGAAAAAAAAATATCCTCAATTTTTCGTTTATCTTAAGAATTCATGAATAAATTACAAAAAAATCGAAACTTTGAATGGCCGATCCCAAACAAACTATAAAAAAAATCGACTGCAACAATTTGTATTGAAAAATCATGAAAAAGGTGAATTTTGAAAAGAAGATAAATTGGAATCCCCAAATTCGATGTCAATCGAATTCGAAGTTTCCGAACTTTGTGAATCGGAAAAACAATTGAATCATTTGATGTCGGTGGTGATGAAAAAAAATCAATTAGAAAAAAATATGAATACGTACATATATGTATGTGTGTATATATATGTGTGTGTTTTTTCTTTTCCCCCAAAATCTAGAAAGAAATGAAAAAGGGAAAAAGGTTAGAGATGAAGAAGGCAACTGGGAGGCGGAGTTCATGGTAGATATAATAATGAGGGAGGTGAGACTGCCGATTGAGTGAAATGACGAAAAAGGGCTCTGCTGGTTCCGTAATGCCCAAGTTAAACTGTTCACGGGAAATCTGTGGGAATGAAAAAATGGATGAAAGGTGAACTTGATGGGAGAAGGTGAATGTGGACGGTAAACCTGTGCTCGTGCATTTATTTTTATTTCTTTTGGATATTCGCATCTCGCTCCGCTGCCTTAATTGAACGGATCAAAATAAAATGTGGCTTTTTGAGAAAGTGCGTAACTTTAATTATTTTAGGTTTATGGGGTTTTTGGCACTTTGCACCCTTGAATTACACATTTTTGGCACTTTGCATCCTGAAATTGTAAAATTGGCAGATTGTATCATGTAAATATAAATTGTTTGGCACTTTGCACCCCAAATCACATTTGGTTTAGAAAAATTACCTGCAATTTGTTGAAAACCTGAAAGATGGGCAAATTCGCAATTCTCTAATTATCTAGCCTCTTCCTCCAATTCTTAATCATAGTTCCACCATTTTTATATTTCGTCATATTAATCAAAAAATCATAAATTCTTCTTACCCGTTTTTATTTGCCATAATATGTAAATTCTGAACTAAAACTCAAGAATGATCGGAATATATAGACAAGAGTCCGATAACACACCTTCAGAAAATCAGGTTTTATTCCATGGTAACGCTATTTTTTTTAATAATTTGCAGATCCAAACTATTCAATGGGAGCACACAAATCTTCCCATCATGAAACAAATAGGCACCACATTTCTACCACCAAATAAATTTCTCAGTAGCCTTATTTTGTCATTTGACTATTTAAAAAAAGTGATTTAGTATTATTTTTAGTATTTATACTAATTTTACCATTGAAAGAAATGGCTAAAAAGATTTTAGGATTTTTTGATTGAAGGGACGAAAGATAAAAATGGTGGAACGGTGATTAAGAATTGAGGGAAGATGATAGATAATAAGAAAATTATGAATTTGCTCATCTTCCAGGTTTCCAGCAAGTTGCAGGTAAGTTTTTTAAGCCAAAAGTGATTTGGGGTGCAAAGTGCCAAACAATTTATGTTTAAATGGTGCAATCTGCCAATTTTGCAATTTAAGGGTGCAAAGTGCCAAAATGGTGTAATTTAAGGTGCAAAGTGCCAAAAACCCTAGGTCTATGTGTTATATTTCTTTTTCAATCCAATCTTGTTATAACCGAATCGGCTATGCATTTGGGTTATGGTTTTATAGGATCGAATCGGTTCAATCGGATTTTTAATTTTTTTTAATATGTCATTATTTTTTTAATTTTAATATTTTACAAATACTATTTTCTTTATATTTTTAATATCCCACTGATTATTTTAATTGTATCTACCTCACCACATTTTTTACTATATTTTTTTTTCTTATAATTTTTCATTCTTCATTCTCCAAATCCGGCAATCAGCCACTCCTATCTGATCAACGATAGCCATATCCGGTAATCATTTGACCACTCATGACTAGATCTGGCCTCCCACCACTTGTTCGTGAAGGTTCACTCAAATCTAACCACAAATAACTAACTTAACGGTGATTTGAGACGTTTTTTGCCGAAAATCGAGTTCCTTAACTCACTCGTCGGTTCACGGTCGAACCGGTCCGACCAGCCGGTTCTAACAACATTTTTGTCAATAAACTTGTCCATTGAATATGTCTTATAAATAAAAACCAATTTAATATATATGATAAAATTACCCCTAACCATGTACACCTAATTCTTAACCATACCCCAATTTAACTTCAATTTCATCAATTTTGATCACAAAAATCCAATTTAACTTTTTTTTTTTCAGATTTTTTTTTTCGGATGCCGATTCCTGGCATTGTTTATTTTATTTTATTTTTATTTTTATTTTTATATAACTCTTTTCTATTTTTTTTTCTCGGCTGCCGCTAAACGGTAATAGTAATATTACTATCGTTACTGCAAACACAATAATATTATTGTCAACTACATCAATCTTATTTATTTATTTTTTGCTTTTTTTTTTTTATTTTGTTTGTTTTGTTTACCGGTCAACAGAATAATATTATTGTCTACTATTGTAAGATTACTGTGATTGACAGTAAAATTACTATAATCACAATAATATTACTGTCAACGATCTTAATATTAATTTTTTTGACTCTTTATTATCTTTGCCTTTGTTGACTGGTCAACATAATAAAATTATTTCATTACACAATAATTTATTATGTAACATAGTTATTTTATTGTGTTAATATTACCGTGTTAGATAGTAATTTAACAATATGACTGTGTTAAATAGTAATATAATTAATACAGTGACAACCACATTAATGTTACTATTTTTTACGGGGGCCAAAATACGTTCAGGAAAAAAAAATCAATGCTGCCGGAGATCGCGCCGATTGGCACGGCAGCAGACAAAAAAAAAAAAAGAAGTCAACGGCGACGATGGTTAAAATTGGAGTCATAATTGGAGTCATAATTGGGTTAGGGGTCAAAATTGCATAAGTGGTGAAATTTAGGGTCAAATTGCGGTTAAATTGGGTTAAATAGATAAAATTGAAGCATATTTAAATGAGAGAGGGTATTATAGTCTTTTACACATCGTTAGACTTTGTCTAGACTTTTTGTAAAAAATATTTTGGTTTGATCATCTTTATGAATAAGTAGCCCATAATGGATATATTTATAATAGCATCAAACAAATTAATTGGGCTATTTGACAAAATCCCCTCGTAGAATTTCTTTATAGGGATATCCGCGAATGCCAGATTCGTATTCAAGGGTTTGAGGATAATCTTCAACAAAATTGGATCTACTTGGTGGATGATCAGCTTATTGCTGAAAAAAAAACAGCTTGTCCAATTGGAGGAATGAGAAGTGGAGATGCTCAGCTCTAAGGCTAGGATTGCATGGGAGAAAGATGGTGATCGTAATACGGCCCTTTTCCACGCGAGCATTAAAGATAGGCGAAAACGATCATGTATCCAAGTTGCTCGTCAAGATGGCTCACTTACTACACATCCTCAAGATATTGGTCCCATTGCTGAAAAAAAATTCGCCAATTTATTTTCAGTCTCAGATTACTATATGGATGAGGACCTTTTTCACGGAGTGCCTACTTTGGTTAATGATGACCTTAATGTTGATTTTTGCCGAATTCCGAGTATGGACGAAATCTCTGATGCCGTCAAAGGTTTGAATTCATCGATCTCTCCAGGTAATGGCGGATTTACAAGCCATTTTTATGTAGCCTGTTGGGAGACAATTAAGTACAATTTAAATAACTTTATTAGCGACTTCTTCCGTGGAGGTTATATGCTTAAGAAGATGAATAGAACCATCCTGCTTTTGCTTGCCAAAGATTGAAAGTGCTCTAAATATTGCCAATTACCGTCCCATTAGTTTATGTAACTTCTCTGAAAAAATTATCTCCAAAATTCTCGCTACTAGATTGGGAAATTTTTTACCTTTTCTTATTTCGGACGAACAAGTGGAATTTGTTCAGGGTCGGCAAATCACCTCATGATTCACCTTGTTGTAGAAGGCGGTGAATATCATGTTCATTTGTAACCGGAAGTATTGTTCCCCATATAGTTCGATTGTCGATGAACAAAACTCTCTTAAAGTTTCATTCCCAGTTGCCTCCCCGGTCTTCAAATATTCATCACAATTTTCAGCAGATGCTCTATAAGCAAGAATTCGAAGTGCAATAGTTATTTTTTGAATAGATGATAAGCCAAGACGACCACGTCCATCTCTCTTTCGGATGAAGTATATGTTATGATTTTCAAGATCATTCTGAATATGAAGAAACACTCCATGTGCATCCTATAACGCCTGCGAAAATGAGAAAATAGAAAAGTACATTTTTCAGAAAAATAATCTTTCAATAATAGTTCATAACTTTCTTCACAATCACGATAGATATATTATCGTTGATGCGGTTGTTACTCATATGCTAAAATTTACCATTTCTTGAGTTTCTTTCTCTATACGAAAAGAAATAAGTTCTTCCTCTTCTGCCGAGGATGATGAAGATGAAGAACTAAATGATTTAATGTATGCAAATTCATCAGAACGAAACCATCCAGATGAAGAAGCCATATCTTAGATGAAATTTATTGCGTATATACAATTGACTCAGAAAAGAATATTTATAGAAGTTGGAAAAATCAAGAAAATTGAAGTTGAAAAAATCAACAAAGTAATTGAAGATGGAAAACCAATAAGATAATTGAAGTTGAAAAACATAAATACAAAATAATTGAGAAGATAATTGAAATTGAGATACTCTAGAAAATAATTGAAGTTCGGAAACCAAGAAAATAATTAAAGTTCGGAAAAAAGTAAAAAATAATTGAGAAGATAATTGAAATTGAGATAATCGAGAAAATAATGCAATTTGACATACAGTAAAGTTGAGAAAAATAATTGAGGTCTTCTGAAGCATGTCACATGTCTCTACAAATTAAGATTGAGAGAATCGAAAAATCTATCCACTTAAAACCTACCCACTAAAAATCTATTCACAAAATCTACCCAAAAAATAACTATCTACAAAATCTACCCATAAAATATCTATCTACAAAATCTACTCACTTGCTAAAATCTATCCAAAAAAAAAAATCTATACTTCATACAAATTCACTCTAAATATTATAAATACTAGTTATGCATTATGTTATCATTCACCCCTTCAGTTTACATATAAACATAAAGTCTCTCACTTTAGTATGAATCCATGTTTTCTTTTCAATTATGGAACCAATCCTGAATATAGATCTCTACCACCACCACAAAACTAGTCTCAAACATTTCCTCACCAATTTTCATACAATCCTAACAATTTCAACTCACAGTCACAATCATTTTTACAATTTTCTTATAGTTCTTTCGTCTATGCAGGATCATCTCAAATTCAAAACCAAGAGCAATCACAAAGTATAAACAAATGAGGTAAAAAGACCAAGACCCTAGGGCAAAATAGAAACTAGAATATGGAAGAAGATGAAGCACTGTGCAAGGCCTGGTTACGTGTTTCAGAAGATGTAATAGTTGGTATTGACCAACAAAGAGATAAGTTGT